AAAAAAGATGTTTGCAAGAAGTTTTATACTTCTTTACTAATAAAGTCTTTACACTTTCATTAAAACAACTTGAAGCTTATCTTCATGTATCTTTCTTACCTTTTTTACTTGTTTATAACCTCCTTTGAATAAAAACTTGACCCTCTAGTGACCTAAAAAGACTCAAGTATGCACTTCCTCTATTAAGGGTAAGAAGGTTCTAGGAAGTAAAAGGATTGACAAGTAGAGTGTCACCTTACAGAGCTAGAAGTGACAAAAAATAGAGGTTCTATTGATAAAAGAAGGCTTATTATCCATCTTCTTACATACTGTCTTATATCCTCTTAAAGTGTCTACTATTTTTTACAGTTTTCTTGGGAGATTTTGCCTACCTCAGCTTGATCCTGAATTTTTGATAGCATAATATCACCTGGCATCTGATTGGTTGACACAAAACACGTTAATAACAGAATGTAAACAAGCTCCCATTGGTTACTTTATGTGTTCCGATGATGTCATTGGTGATAGAAAGAATTGATTGGTACCTCATGTTCATCCACTTCTTCAATTGGGTTAACCTATAGATCAAGTACCATTAGGTTAATAAGATATGAGTAACAAGTCCTCAGATAGTGAAAAAGCTATTATTTGTTCAAGCTGAGATCTTTTTCTTCTATCATTTCAGTCAGGTAAAGTTCAAGACCAAGGTCTCCTTCTTATCCTGGTTAGGCAATAGAACTGAATGGTCTCTAGTCAATGTTAAGCTCCAACCCTTTGGTTACAGTTAAGAATATATTTTTTCAGAAGTTGTTGAATGATATCACAATCTACGAGGATCCCTACCACTATCATTAATCTCTCACCATTACAAGGCAAAAGGATTATTGGGAAATCTGGCCTTTTGGATAATGGAAGATGTATATCAGTAAAATTTCTTTAACTAGACATGACTGCTAGAAGGTATCATATTGAAACAATATGATCTAGTCCTTACTAGATTACATAAGATCCTGGGATCCATTATAAGTTATTTGTTTATCACAGGTGAATAAAAAATCACTGCCCTAAGAAGGTTAGAACTAAGTGTGTTCTAAAAGTAAAGGCTCTAACTAGGTGATAAGTCTTCTTGGACGGTACACAAGAAGGAAATCAAGATCAAGAATGGATAAGTTCTTCAGATGGTTAGAAAAAGAAAGGATATTCCAATTGGGCATTTCTTATTGAAAAGAGATTTTGTGAAGCAGGTCTTTGGAGGAGGCTGGAAATATTTTTTTTCAATTTTTATTTTTTTATTTTCTTGTCATTTATTTAGATATTTTTAGATATCCTTCTTTTCTTTTTTTCAACTCATCCTTTTGTAATTTTCTGTATTTCAATGCAGTGAACTAGAAAGGTTTTTACTCAAAAATATTGTGGAGTGAAATATTGTTTTCAAGGCTAAACTTAGAGGCTTTTATGCTTAAGACGAGTTGATTAGATTATAATAATAGTTTAGCTATAATATGTATTATGTTGCTCGAATGAAAATATACTTGTGTTTTCAATTGATTAATAAATTAACAATCTAGCTTGACTATAGGTACTTTAAAAAAAAAATTATAAAATTAAATTAGATATAATATCAAAAAACTTTTTTATTGACCTTCTATTTACAGTATATGTAAAAAAGATATTTATAAGAAATTTTATATTTCTTTAATAATAAAATTTTAACACTATCCCTAAACCAATTTGAAGTTTTATTTCAAAAGTTATTTTTATATTTTTTCTCTTATTTATATTTGTTTTCAAGCAAAAATTTGATTTTTAGTAACCTAAAAAAGTTAAGAAACATTTTTTTATCTACTTTATAATAAGAAAGTATTATAAAGAAGAAAAACTAGTAGTGTAGTATTTAAAGTTTTTCATATTGAAACATATTTATAAAGAATTTCTGTAATAAAAGATAATAAAAATTAAATTATACTGTATTTCAAGATATCTGTTTATTATATCTTCCTTTTTATAGTTATCTATTTTTTTTAGTTTTTTAGAAAATTTTATTTATTTTAGTTTGATTCTAAATTTTGAATAATACAATTTATTGCAAAATATACTTTATGAATATAAAATTTATTAATAACTGAATATAAATAAACTTTTACTAATTATTTTATATATTTTGATAATATTATTGATAACAAAAAGAATTAATTGATGCTCTATTTTTGTTTTACTTATTCAATTGGATTAATTTACAAATTAAATTTTATAAGTCTAATAAAATATGAATAATAAGTTCTTAGCTAATAAAAAGTTATTATTTATTCAAGTTAAGATTTTTTTCTTTTAATATTTTGATCAGGCAAAGTTTGAGACCAAGGTTTTTTTTATATCTCAATTAAACAATAGGATTAAATAATTTTTAAATTAAACTAAACTTCAATTCTTGAGTTATAATTGAAAATATATTTTTTTTAAAAGTTAATAAAGAATATTGTAATAAATAGGATTCTATTTATCTTTAATTATTAGAAAACAAAAAGATTATTAAAGAATTTAACTTTTTAGATATTGAAAAATATTTACTAATAAAAATTTTTTAATTAAATGTAATTGTTGAAAGATATTATATTGAAACAATATGACTTGATTTTTATTAGATTACATAAGAATTTGGAATTTATTATAAGTTATCTGTTTACTATAAGTAAATATAAAATTATTGTTTAAAAAAGGTTGAGACTAAATGGGATATTGAAAGTAAAGGATCTTATTAAATAATAAATTTCTTTGGATAATATATAAAAAAAAATTAAGATCATAAATAAATAAGTTTTTCAGATAATTAGAAATAAAAAAATATCCTAATCAAGTATTTCTTATTGAGAAAAGATCTTAAGAAACAAATTTTTGGAAGAAGTTGAAAATTTTTATTTTAATTTTTTTCTTTGTTTTTTCATAGTATAATTACATATTTTTAGATATCTTCTTCTTTTTTTAATTTATCCTTTTGTGATTTCTCATATTCTAGTGATTTGATAGAATATATTAAAATGCAATGAAATGGTGAATTAGGAGGATATTTATTTAAAAATTGTCATGAAATACAATACTGTTCTCAAGACCTAACTTAGAGACTATAGAAATAATTAGTTATAGTATGTATTATACTGCTTAAATGAAAATGTACTTATATTTTTAATTAATTAATAAACTACAATCTCGCCTAACTGCGGATACTCAAAAAAAAAATTTTAAATAATATCAATAAATTTTTACCTTTTTATTAACTAAAAATATAAATTGATAATTTTTTTGAAAATAACTGCATAATCTATTCCAATATCTTGATATAATATTTTTTTAACGAATGTATCAAGTACTGTATATACAACATATACAATCATAATATGGTAAGAAAATTTTACTGGAAAAATAGACTTTTATACTGTATGTACAGTATGAGAATTCCCAATGTTGATGTTTTACCATTACTTTGCATCATAATTTCAACAATTAGTTTTAAAAAATTTTTGAGTTAGCTATTTTTTAAATGTAAAACTTGACTTTTCAAAAAATGCGAGCGTAAATCCAGATTTTCAGTATGATGTACTGTATACAATACATACGGTATTATGTATACACAATGATACCATTGCAACCTTCCCATTAGCTTACTAAAATCAATGTAATCTTTAATTAGAACGACAAAAAATTTTAAGCGAATATAAAAAACTCAATAAATACCATTTTCATTTACATATCGGGCAAAACGCGGAACAAAAATATCGCATACACTATTTTGCGAAGCCTGATTAAATTGGGGAACTCTATTTTCCAAAGCATTGACTTTTTGTTCTAATTCAATAATACGGCCGTTTTGGTGAAGGAGTGAGATTTCTTGTTTCAGATTTTCAACCTGGATTCTTAACTCATTGTTGTCATCATTTAAAGACTTAATGTGTCTATTGTATTTCTCGACTAAAGGTACGATTCTATCGTCAATGAGACGGGAAAATTCGTGGTTTTTCTGTGTGGTCTCAATGGTATTTAATTTGTCTACGTCGTCTTGTGATTTTGTTGTCTTTTGTTGCCTGTGATAATTCTCCCCAGTAGTAAATCCAGGCATTGTTTCACGTTTCTCGTGTTCCTGTTTCTCATGTTCCTGTTTCTCATGTTCACGTTTCTCATGTTCACGTTTCTCATGTTCCTGTTTCTCATGTTCACGTTTCTCGCGTTCACGTTTCTCGTGTTGACGTTTCTCTTGTTCACGTTTCTCGCGTTCACGTTTCTCGCGTTCACGTTTCTCGTGTTCACGTCTCTCGCGTTCCCGTTCCCGTCTCTCACGTTCCCTTCTAGATTTCGACACACGAGGCATGATGAAAGAAATGAATTAATGTACAAACACGTACAGCACAGTTTATATTTCTGAAGTTGTGAGTGATCGCACCAATCAAATTGTCTTTATTTTTTTGAATACGTTAAATAGCACGTGATTAACCGATTTAATTTTTTGCTATATACTGTATTATCTCGCGGAACTCCGTACGAGTGCGCCGCAGTTTTAGAGTTGCGGGCGAAAAAAATATTATGTATGTACTGCAGATAATACCGCATTCTTTGTCTCCTACTGTTTGTTATGTATATTCCTTTT